GGAGCAGATGGAGTTAAAAAGTCTGGGAGCGCAGAGGAGGGAGCGTCCTGGCTCTGTGACTCCCCCTCTTTGGGGAGCGCACGTTGTCCCTCCAAAACGGCCCCCTTGGCCCTTTCCGGAGCGCGCCAGCCAAATCAGAGCGCCGTCGAGCTGGAAGGGGCCCTCCAGAGTCACCCAGTCCAGCCTTCCTTCCTTCCTTCCCTGGGGAAGCCCAGGCGTCCCGGGCGTAGGGCCAAGCCAGCCTCCCTTCCGCCGTGGGGCCCCCTCGTCCGCCCCCCCCCCACAGACGACCTGCTTCCTGGCAGGAGGTTCGGGCTGGGTAAGAGCCCGCCTGGGAACGTTACTCTGTCGGCTGAGAATGAAGGCTTCTGAGCTCTGGATAAGGTGAGGTGGTGTTTCTCCAGGTAATGCATGACCAGGTCCTAGGGAATTCCTTGCCGCATTACCTGTTAACGGAGGGTTGATTATACATCATGGGGATCTGGGCCCTGGACCCAATGAAGCCTGAACACCTTCTAGGAGCAGGAATGAGGAAAACTCAGGCTTGTCCTGCTTTGGGCACCTCACCAGAAGACCAGATTCTCTGGAAAAGACAGTAACGCTGAGAAAGGTGGAGAGCAGCAGGAAAAGAGGAAGACGCAAATATAAGATGGATCAACTCCCTAAAGGAAGCCACAGGCTTGAGTCTGCAAGAGCTGAGCCAAGCTGTTAATGATGAGACGTTATGGAGATCTTTCATCCTTTGTTGTTGTTGTTGCTTAGTCATTTAGTTGCGTCCAGCTCTTCGTGACCCCATGGACCAGAGCACGCCAGGCCTTCCTGTCTTCCACGGAGTTGGGTCAAACTTTCGTCCTTAGGGTCACCACTAACTGAAGGCAACTCAGCCATCCAGAACAGCCCTTCAAGGTACTATGTGGGGCTGGCTCAACTAACAGAGGTTCATCTGATGGGAACTACATGTGTAGAGGCCATCTGCCTTCGGATATGAGATGTGATGGAGCTGTGCTTAGAAAAGTTACCTTTTTTGCCTTACAATTCCCAGAACCACCTGCCCACGAGCACCACCACCACCAGCATGCCCACTGCTTAGAATCAGTGGCACAGACGTGAGGATGATGGCCAGAACTTGGAAAGATGGTTGGTCTCCTAGACAAACCCTTCTGATCTGACCAGGTTGAGAGGGGAATTCTGAGAGTTGTAATGAAAGGAATAATATTATAAAGTTAAGCATTTGGGGGGTGGGTGTTTGGAGGAATAATAAAACAGGGCCATGATTACCCTGATGTCTTATTTGTAAGATTTTGTTTGCGCCACTGTTAAAAAAGGCAGGAGGCCAACCGATGGATGTTCTGAGCATGATTCTGATCCAAGAGGCCCCAGCTGGTTTACACTGTCCGTTTCGTTAGGAGCCCCCTCCCCCGGGAGCTGCAGAAAGGAGAGACCCTCCCTTCTCCCGTGGACCCCAAAGCCCTAAGCGGCAGGCCGAAGGGCCGAGGAGGAGGACGGACCTCCAGCCCATCTCCAAGCCACCTGTAGGCCCGACCTCAGCTCTCTGCCAGTGAGGCTTTTACCTCCCAAGTCCGTGGCTCAGCCTCTCGATGGCCCCAGCCAGGCCCCTTTGCTCCTTTGTCTTAATTACTCTTTTTAGGGCCTGATGTTCAATTGACCAGGAAAGGCAAAACCATATTGTCTCAGGCCGGTGGAGGCAGCATCCGATTCCCATCGCTCATCTCCTCCCCGCTCCCCCTGGATCTATCAATCCATCCGTCTTCGGCCACCACGGCCTCCATTCATGGCATCTCCAGGAAATCTATCTTGGTTTCTCTCCGCAAAGACAGCTGCATGTCAGTCGCTGCTGCCGCGGCTTCTTCGCTGCCTCTTCCCACCGGCCTTTCCATGCCCTCCATTGTCTTGCTTAGCCTGCATTGATCTTGCAACCCGAGGCCAAGTCTGGAAGGCTCCAGGAGAAAGGCTCAGTGTTGGGGTGAGGAACCTTGGGCTCCAGGGGAGCTGGATTGGGGCCCCCCGGGCTTTCCTAGAGGGCACAAAGCATCGCTGGGTGGCTTCCCGGCGTTCGCCCAAGCTTTTACCTGGCCATCTTGGAGGACGATGATTTTGGCACCTTTTCTGGTTCTATTTTGGCCCCTTTGGTCTCCTGCCTCATCTCTGAATTGGTATTCGGTTGGCAACAGGGTGTCCTATGGTATCACCTTTCATATTCAAAAACAGACAGCATGGGGGGGTCCCATCAGCCCCCCGCCATCATTATTTATGCTGGTTAGGGCTGGTGGTTGGAAGAACCTTTAGGATGCATGGACCTCTTTGGCACCTGCTTGGCTCAAAGGTCCATTCGGGGCCGGGGGAAGCAGAGCAGCTGGGGGACGGCCCCTGCTTTTTCCTCAGCTGTTTTTTCACCTTCTTGTCCTGCCTTCTCATGTCAGCCTTCTTCTTTCTCTTTCTCTTTTTCTCCTCCTCCTCCTCCTTTTCAAGGGCTTCGCATCTCTCTTTGTCTCTCCCCCCCCACCGTCAGGTGGGCTATAGGGCCTCCCCGGATCATGTGCTCCATCCTGACACACGGTCAGCTATATGAAATTAGGAAACGTAAGCTTTCTTGTCAATGTATTTTCTGAACAAATCTTGGTAAGTTCTTTTAACTTGAAGCTCAACCTTTGTCTGGTTTTTTGCTGCTGCTGTTTATTGCTCCAGAGGACAGAGAAACAAAACCGGCCGAAGTGCCTCCAGGCTCCCCACTGCAGCTTTATTCAAAGTCCAAACAGAGGGATCCCCCGAAAGGGCCCTCCTAGAAACAATTAACCATCTGAATGCAAAAACAGAGCGTGGCATCTCCCCACCTCATCCCACGGCCGTCCTTGGGTTTAGAGGACTCGCTCCCAGGAGCCTGTGGGTCGTGCCTGTTGCTGAGTTCCATGACAGCCCTTCCTCCCTGCTCACCATGACGGATCTGCCAGAAGAGGAGTCAGTCCTCTGGCTGCTCCCTCACCCCCGACATGTCTCCCAGGCCCTCTCCATGTGCAGCGCCCTGCAAGGATGTAGAGGACCAGATCCAGACCCAGGAGACTTTCTCGGATCAGATCCACCTGAGCTTCCCATGTTGTTTTACCCAGAAAGCACTCCCCTCAACATGTGGGCAATGTGTGGGCAAAGAAAGGAAGGGAGGGAGGGAGGGAGGAAGGAAGGCAGATGATGGAAGGAAGGAAGGGACACTTCGACCAGGCACCTCATGAAAACACAGCCTGCTTCTCTCTAGGAGCCTGCCTGGGTGTTACGATCACCAGGGAAGGCCTCTCTCTCAGTCCACCAGCCAT